AATGGGGATAAGAAGAAAACTGCAGCCATAATCCGAAAATTACATCATACTCACCAAAATTTAACCGACTCCGATGAAGGAGCTCCTTGTTCACAGCACGAGTCAAACAGCAACTGGTACGTAGACTAAAAAAGCGGAGTTATGCAGTTATATGTACTTTTGAGAAGTATGATTAGAGACTACAGTAACACTTGACCACCAAACAGTAAACACCAGCAACTGTCTTTTTAAATGTAGATTCATTTTCAGCCTTTTGAATATCAAAGTTTTACTATCAATTGATTATTAAGGCTTTTTCTTCGGTATACCTTTGATTCACGACCTTATAGTTTACAAAACTGACAAAAGGTACAGCCAAACATTAAAATTTGTTTTTAAAAAATCCATTATTCAATAGAGACGAAGGCGGTGTAGGGGCAAGTGGCGCATACCACACACGCATGGTCACGGATTCGAGTCCCGGATCGATATCCACCTAAGCCAACCAAGCCTTCCATCATTCCGGTGTCGCTAAATTGGCACCATACTCGTCTGGGAAAATGAAGCACCGACTATTACAGCCACTGGTCACCGGAAGTCACTGCTAAGGCCATATACGCATTCAATTCACCACGACTCTGAATGGAAGTCGATTGCCTGGGCGCCTCTCCCTTAGACGGGACTGTTTCAACCTCGAAGACTTTACCCTTTACTTATTGTTTAAAAGTAGTCCATGCCTGCAAGGAAAAGCCATTTTTTGATAGATACCCTTTGGAAAATATTGCCCAAAAATCACTACCCCCATTGAACGAATGCGTACGAGCTCTTACGGGTGAGTAAATTTCGTCTCATCAGGCACCCCTAATCACCATGTAACACTAAGAATTAGCTTCACTAATTAGGGTAATTTGAATATGCACTAAACCCGAAAGATTGCCATAAAAAACAACAAAAATAATGTAAACAAGTAAGAAAAAGGGGCATTCTACTCAAATATTCACCTGCATGCAAGCTTTCGCACATTCCGAAACGACATTCGATGCTCGTGGTGGGCTGGCCAGTTCGAGCACCTGAAAGGGAGCTGATCGATAGACATATGGGCAGGTAGACATGAAATTTATTCCCCCAATACATTACCTTCATTCGAAAAAAAGTAATCGATGTGAGTAAATCCACCGTCGACTTCAGGTCTTGAAGTTTTGCCGGTGACGAGGATGGGAAATATTTCTGCAAAAAACGACAACAATCACGTCTAATATAACGCATAACACAACATATCATAATATATCGTTCAAAATTATTATCCGTTATCACAAACAGTTACCTTCATTTATAATATAAATTTTATCTACAAAATTAATAATTTTTCTTCAGGTTTTACTGATCCTTACTGACACAGTATCCCACTACTAACTATGACATCAGCAATTATCATGATTTTTTATCAATATCAAAAAATAAAAAAAGGTCCTCATTGAACATTAATAACATTGAGATGAGCCATGCATTTTACTGCAATTCAAAATTGCAAATGCTTGTGTTTTGATATCCAGCTTTTACAGTAACATCTCGCCCTTGGAATTTTTGTAGTCTGGGCGCATTCCCATATTGTTAGCGTTATGCCTCCCGAAGAGCGGAATGGACCGTACGGTACGTCAGTAGAGAACGCTAAAAGAAGTTGTAAAGGACTTTCTCGTTATTTCTCTGAAGAGTTGAGGCGAGATTAATGCTAGAATCTCCCTATCGAAAAGGATGGGACGGTGAGGAAGGAAAATTTCTGAACGATCGTTCATTCCCTTCAGAAAGGTCCCAAGGGGAGCTATGGTGAATGAGAACGGTTTTTGCTAGGCGAGGAAAGACGTCAAAATCGAGAAAACAAAGCAACATGGATACATGGTGATAATTTCAAGCTGCCATTGATGGACTAGGAAACCTGACACCATCGAAGTGAGCAAACGAGAAGACCTATGATATTGACGTCCATCTTGAAAAAGATGAGAATTCACGAAGTGCATAGTGAGAAAAGCGAAGACAGCTTTCATAGAAAACAAAGGCTCTAAATTATGTACTGGGAAGAAGAAAAATATATTGGATAGTAATCAAATAAGGAACTAAGCCACGAAAGTCGACAAGAACCCGGCATACGTGAATCTTCCCTAAACCACTATCGAGTAGGTAACAATCAAAAACAAAAACAGGAGAAATATTAAAATCAAAATAGGCTTACTGGCATAAAACTTGTGTTACTAATTCCTATCAAATTGCTAGTTCACTTTGCTAGGAAGAAAATCATACTACTTAACTCTTGTTTTGTGGTGTAAACAGCGAAGAATAATAAAAGGCGAGTTATATAACAATATCATGAAATATCATTGCTATTTACCACAATCCAACAAAAATAGGTAACAAATAATACGACGAATTGTCAAAACCAATTTAGAAGCAAAATAAGTAGTAAGTGAAGTAATTTATAAGGGGCATAGGAACACTGACCCCAATTTTTGTAAATAGGTAAAAATAATAGAGTATAAACAATTGTAAACAAGTAAATAAAAATAATAACAGTATATATAATTCACCTAACAATTATAAATCTATATATCGAATGAAAAATGTTACATTTGTCGTTGAAGAGAAGCAAAAATCTTCATCCATGGGACTGCTCGATGGCTAAGACAGCTTGTGAGCATATATCT